AAAACAGTCTGCTGATAGATGTATCTTGTGTTGGTAGGATTCTCAAGTTGTAGTAGTCTTTTTTTTTTTTTTGCCTACCCAATATATTATCCACTTGGTTGTATTTTTCAACATCCATCTCAATCGGGCCCAACTTTCTCCACTTCGTCTCTGTTTGATGGAGCTTTCAGTTCTTCATGCACTTACTGCACCTGCTGTTTCTGGAAGCCCTTATTACTATGGGTTGGGTACATATGCATTCTCTTCAGTGGACTCTTGCTTGGGATCCCTTTTCCCTCCCATTTAGGACTAGGATCCCATTCAGTGGTGAGCATTGCCTATCCAGGTATGCTTTCTATCTGTCACTGTATAGTCAAGATGTATAACCATGGCCATTGATGCACGCTGTTGAGATATGGTGTTCCAAAATATTGCTAATATGTTTTCTCACAATATATTTGCTTCATAAGTATGCTTATTCTGGATTGTACTAACCTATGGACTTACATGGGTAAAGCAGAGAGGGATAGCTGCCCATCCCTGCCATCCATTGGGCTCGGCATGGTCTGTTGGTTAAGGTGCTTGACACCCAATCTAAGGGTCGTGGGTTTAAATCCCCGTTCCACCAAAAATGCTTGCCCTTTCAGCTGTGAGGGCATTATGATGTGACAGTAAATCCAACTATTTGTTGGTAAAAGAGTAGCCCAAGAGTTGGCAGTGGGTGGTGATGACTAGCTGCCTGCTAAATTAGGGACAGGTAATGCAGATAGCCCCCGTGTAGCTTGCACAAAATTCAAAACAAACCAAACTGCTATTCATTTGATTGAATAAATCAGGTGTGATCTGCTTTTCAAAATAGGATTTTTCGTGGACACCCGTTGCACTGTTTCTGGTGTCTGTGTTTCTCCAGGCTCTCCATTGCATTTTGTCCCTTGTTCTCCTAGAGGAATATGGAAGTCCTTGTCATTTTCTAGTTCTGAGCCACTGGGGTGGTGAACCATGGAGGAGTCCTTCTGAATGTTATTGCTTCTATTCAGTTGAGAGTAGGGTGGTGGTGGTTGTGTTCTGCTAGTGTAGATAGCATTTGATCCTCCAATCATGTGCTCCATCTCCATGCGGTGGGTCCTGGAGGTTGATGTCGCACCCAGCATCTGTTCAGTTTTATCATTTGGGGGTTCAGTGGCTTATATTTTCTAGATGTCATCCAGAGGGTGATGTTGTGCTCTGGATTTTGTGTGGTCCTATCCAGAGGATAATGTTGATTGGGGTGATGGTTCTCCCTCTTGTGCTCCACCTGAGGGAGTTTTCACTACCTGAGGCTGGTGTTGTGC